AAAGACAGTCTAAAATACTAATTGATGTGATTTTTGTATGACTAAATCTAGGAAATCTTATCACAAAACAGAATAATGGATTTAGTGGACCAATTTTCATTGCTTGGTAGATTCAATTCTAATTTAGCAGTGTGCTATTGTATATTGAGTTAGCAAGCCCTAGATATGCATATTCACATCTATAAACCATTTTGCTCTTGCAGAAGTTGAGCGCCTTGACAATTCGCCGTTCAAATATTTTCTTGGGGAGCTATATGGTGACAATGCACTAACAACCATGCTCCCCTTTGGTCTGCCTAGCCCCGCCTGTGATGCTAATGTGCCGTCAAGTGGGCCCCCTTGTGTGACGCATTGTGGACTACTCCCTCGCACAACCGGTAACCGCGCTGCAGCCGCCTCTCCCTTCCTCCTGTTGCTCCCCTCTGGCTACCTCTGAATTGTCTTTTTTTATACATTCTTGAATAATGTGTTTCAGTGTTATTTGTGTCATACTTTATTCACATTCATATAAAAAACGGTTAATTAATATCAACCTCAAAACGTTATATTTTTTCATTCTTCTCTTATTGCCTCAGCAGGTGTAGTTCTTGAAATTTACACAACACCTGTAATGTTAGCTTTTTTGTTTCAATGTTGGGTGAGTTCTGGTTTTATTTCTTGTGCCTCATTTCTTATGTTCTGTTCAATCTCTCGTGCCACTAGGTCTGGTTGTTAAACATTGATATGTTGGATTGTTACTGTTTCGGGTTGTCGCTGCTTAATGCAGATTACTCCAACGATTGCAAAAAATATCTCTCGATATACACTACACTATATCTTTGAATATACTTGGATTGAGGAGGCAAATGAATGTGTGGATTAAAAAGGTGTGAATGGTGTTTTACTTCAACTCTCTGTAATTATAGGCATCACCAACATGGAAGACGGCAAGCACAGATTGGACGAGTTGCAGAGAACAAGAATCTCTACTTGGGAACCTTCAGTAAGTAGCAGAGATGTTTTTTTTCATTGTATATATATATATATATATTCACCACAAACAAGCATATTCATAGTATAGCACATGGTTAAACTATTTTATCTTGATTCAGGGTATGCAAATGCAGTTGAGATCCCACAGTTTATTCTTTGCAGAGTTATATTACTTGCAGCAAACAAACACTTTGTATATTAAATATTTGGAAGTACTTATTATAATTTTGGTTCACAAATAAAAACAACAATGAGCTAATGCTTCCTAAGGCAAAATTTGGGACTCCATTTTTTTTTAGCAATCATGGGTTATTTTTGTGTGTGTTGCTCTTGGATTGAATATCAATTTCCCCCAAATTGTTTCAGATTACCTGGTCACTGCAGCATGCCTGTCTGTGTGTTACAATAAGCAAATTGGTATGGCCATGGTTTTCACATATTCTTTTTTGCTGTATCTTGTAATCCTGTGTCATTTTACTATGGTAATTTTGTGGTCATATTTTACCTATATTGTTTTAGAGAGTGCGCATGAGCCTTCATCTTGGCAACAGCAGGTTGTGATAATCACCATCTATCACATTTTTTTTATTTTGTTGTTAAGTTCTATCTTTATCATATTGGAATTTTCTCAAACATCTTCAATCCTTAGCTGCCCATATAGTAAATTTGACATATCACTAATCTCCGTGGATGAAAACCAATATAGTTTCAATGAAGCTTGATTCATGTATGATGACTTGGATAGCTAATATTTACTTAGTGACTCAGTGTTGTTTATAAATGTCGATCTTTCTCAGTTTCTTTTTCTCCGAATATGCAGGAACTAAGCCTTTCTGATTGCGTAAAATTGTCACTGCCTGTGCTAGCCTCACCCACCTAGGCAGCAGACGAGCATGCAACAACAAGTTGTGACTAATGACTAATCCCCATCTAGGCCTGTAGAGGCAGCCCTGAGGTGAGCAACAATCCATCAGTCAATTTGTTACTTCAATCCATCTAATAAGGAAAGTTATGATTCAAAAATTTGTTACATCAATCCATCAATCAATTCAAAAATTTGAGGTTGGTTATGAAATTTTTGTTTCTCATGTTTGTAGCTTTGTGAATTGCATATTGGTAAATGGTGGTGACAAGAGGAGGCCACCAGCGGAAGTCAGTGGAAATCACATCCGAGACCTCCTGCCTGGCCCATGGATATCTGAATCCAGGATATCATGACATCTTACATTGCTGGTAAAGCAAAAGTTACTTCCCCTCAAATTTTTGGCTCCCATTGCAACGCCGGTAAATGCAGAAGTTCCTTGTCCTTTTCATAATCAGGGAGGTGTGCTTCACGTCAAGGCCATAGATCACCACAACATGCTGACGTGCTGAACTGAACTTTAGGAATAGCTAAATAACTCCTAGGTGTGATGCGTCCCCTCTAGCGCCTGTTTATCTTTCTTTTTGATATAAATATGAGAAATTTTGAAGGGCGGGGCTGGTGCAAGCGGTAGAGTCTTACCGCCTGTGACCGGAAGGTCCCGGGTTCGAGTTACGGTCTCCTCGCATTGCGCAGGCGAGGGTAAGGCTTGCCACTAACACCCTTCCCCCCTTCCCCAAACCTCGCACAGAGCGGGAGCTCTCTGCACTGGGTACGCCCTTTTTTTTATAAATATGAGAATTTTTATCAATGTATATTAAGAGTAGCACAAGAGATACAAGTATAGTAGTATGTACTGCTTTTCATTCTTGCAACTTTTTAAACTCTAGCTACATTTTATGGAATATCTTTTTACTTCAATCACTTTTTTCACAGGATGTGCAAATGCCATGCATTATTAAGTTCTTTTTGTGCTTCTCCCTTTGAGGCACATGGAGAATAATAGGTATTGATCTGCTGTAGTTGTAGGTATTGAAATTAAGTTCTTTCCTTTTTTTTTGGTTCTGAATGCAATAAGGTATCTTACTGCCTTGTAAGAAGCATCTGCTCAAGGTCTCAAGTTCACTGAACCATGCCCACTGCGAATATCTCAAGTTATATTGTTTGCAATTCTTCAGGTGGCATGTACTGCTGTATTGACATATTGGCTTTTTACTTCAGCTTTACTTTCAATTACTAATATTTGTTATCTCTTAAAATTTCAGCGCCCGGCAGTAAGAAAACGGAAAGAGAAAAGGAGTAGATGAGTTGGAGAATCACTGAAAGTTGAGCTAAAAAACACAAAAAAGGATATATTGTTTTTTTAAGAGTAATACAAGCCGTCATCCAAGAAATGAACCAAGTACTTGATATATTGTGTAATTGCAGCAAACAAGTCTATTGACACTTCTCTTTTCAGTTGTATTTTGAGCTTGAGGACAGTAGTGGATTTAGCCTTGCTTTACAGGTATGCATGTGTGTAGCCGGCTTATCATTTGGTTAGTCCAAATGAAAAAAAGAAGGAAACAAAGTTGTATTGGTTATTGGCTTATCACCCGCCATTCTTCCAAGCATACGATGCCAAACATGTTAAAACAGATATTTTCTTACCAAGTTCAGATCTTGTTTATTGGCAAACAAATATCTACAAATCTACCGGTGGTCGATGGGAGGGCTGTCCGCATATTGGTGACGAAGAAATACTATTTAATGATTTATTACTTTGTTACAATTTGCAAACAGTCCCTAGAAGAAAATAGATAACATGTATTTATCAAGAATTCTTTTGTAGATAACGTGTATTTATTAAGAATCTTTTTGTATTAAATATCATTTTAACGTTGGTATTTAATTTTATAGTATTATTATCTTATTTTACGATCCTTGTGTTTTTTTATAAAGTTTAGTTTTTTTACTATTATAGAAAAGTTTAGCTGTCCATAGCCACGTTTTTTCGGTCCTCCATGGGCACGAACTACTATACTACTAAAAAGCGAAAATGCCCTAAGTTCAAATATGCGAGCATCTTAACGCTTCAAATGAAAAAACTCAAAACTAGAAAGTTGTAGATCTCGGAAATCTATAATTTTCATATAAAATTTAGCAAAAAAATGATGATTTTTCTAAGAGTGGACGCACAGTGACCTTAAGGGCAACACGTGAGAGGCGGTAGACCGCAAATTTTTACAGTGGACACATGAGATTTCGATCTTTTATAATGTATCCATTGCTGCGGATGGATGGAAATGCGTGAGCAGCAAACCGAACAGTGGACGCACAGTGACTGAAAACGTGTGATCCGGTAGCATAGTCCTTTTCTCTCACAAATCCGGTTTCTCCGCTTCTTTTTCATTCATCCATAATGTTTCCAAATTTCTTCGTGATTTCAAACCATCCAAATTTCTTCAAGCGGCCCAGAGGGCGCAGTGGCGCGCGAACAGGTCGCCGGAGTAAATGGCCGTGGCGTGGACGCGGTGGTGACTGTAGACGCGTTTTTGGGACGTGTTTTCTGCGCTGTGATTCTGTGAACAGTGATCGCGCGGTATTGTAGCGACGCGTGGATAGGCGGAGGAGAGGCGAATTCCACGGCGGTGTTGAAGAACTCTTTTTTTTTAAAAAACCGCGGTGTTGAAGAATTTAATATTGGCTCTGTTCGTTTCTCTTATAATCCGTCTTTTTCAACTTGTTTTTTAGCCGAACAGTGTTTCTTCTCACAAGCAAATCAGCCGAAACAGTATTTCGATTTGTTTTTTCAACGAAGCGAACAGGGCCATTATTACTATGGTAGTGCCCCGCGCTTAGCTGGAGGTCGATGGCTTTCTTGGTTGCAATCAGTAGGTATCACATCGTTCTATAAGGAAAAATAGAGGACACATAATTGAGCAGTTCACTATGATTAGTAAACAGAACAAATGAAGTTGGAGTTCATTCACTGCAGTTCACTATGATTAGTAAACAGAACAAATGAAGTTGGAGTTCATTCACTGCAGTTCACTATGATTAGTAAACAGAACAAATGAAGTTGGAGTTCATTCACTGCGAATGCGATGATACAGACAGTAGTAATTGAAACGAACAAAGCAGAGTTGCTGCCAGCTGGTGCACCAGGGCCTGAAAGTGAAAACTATTAGAAAGGTTTCATGGCTTGAAGCAGAGCTGTGAGATGTATCTCGTGCAAGCACAGCCGGTAGCGTCCGGGGTTGTAGTACCCAAAGCATCGCTTGAACGACTCATCGCGCCTGACGACGGCGGCTTCTCTGGATCCCAGGTTGAGCTGCACGAGCCCGATTCCGTACATCTGCAGAACCACGGTGCCGCTCCTCTCCCCGAGACCCATGAACTGGACCGAGTAAGCCGGACCTGGCTCGTGCTCGATGGCATGCCTCCAGATCACCACCTGTCTGGTCCACCTCGCCGCCGGCAAGCTTGAGTTGTCACCTTCCGACAGCGTCCACATCGATATCACACAGATCTCCGCGGCCAGAACGCTCAGCCTCCTGTCCGGCGACGGTGCCAGCATCAGCGCGTCCAAGACGGTCTGGTGGTACCTCAGCCTGTCAAGGCATCCCGGCGGCAGCTCGATGCGCGAAGCCTGCGACGAGCCGGCGTCCAAAGAGACGATGCATGGTGGGTTAGGGGGCCGGGGCTGGCCGTCCACGTGGTCGCGCTTGAGTATGCACAGCCAGTAGACGGTGGATCCGACGACCGTGGCGCGAGAGGCATATCTCGGAGGGATGTACGGAAGGTGCGCCGCATGGCGGGGTTCGACGACGGCGCCCCACCTGCCGTCCTCCGACGAGAAGGTCTGCATCCGCAGGTCCGAGTCGGCGGCGAGCAGCTGGAACGAGCGGCCGGCGCCGCCAACGGCGAGCAAGGCGTGTGGGTACGCTTCACGGACATCCGCCGGAGGGAGGCGGGACGCCTGGCCGGTGAGGCTGTTGCAGACGCGCAGGTCAGCTCCGGAAAGGGCGTCGGCCCAACGTTGTTCGACGTCTGTCGGTCGCCGGAGGAGGACGACGAGACCGTCGCGCGAGGCCACGGGATCGAACGAGTCCAATAGGATGGCGTCAAAGCGGAGGAGGTGTTGCCGGCGCGTCTGGGCAACACGATCGCCCGCGGTTGATGCGCGCACCGGCAGCCGGTAGGAGAAGCCGAGGAGGAGGGCGGGGTCGAAGCCACGGCTGGCCTCGGCACGGAGGGCGAGGCTGCGGCGGAAGTCCTCGCTGAGGATGTCGCTGCGGGTAGACCTGGAGGCGGCGGCGTACCGGAGGAGGCTCGCGACGTCCAAGCGCGAGAGGACGTCAAGGCGGAGGTCGAACGGGATGGGCAGTGGCCATGGCTCGGTTGCGGTTCCGTTGTATGTGCAAATTCGTGGGCGCTTCTTCGACGACATAGCTGCTGGTTCCAAGCTCCGCCGGCCTCCGGCCTCCGGGTGGTAGTAGATCTGATCTACACGTGGCAAGCCGGCAACTCAGATCAAGTCCAACGATAGAGTTAGCCACGAAGTTTGGTATTAGCTAAGTTACAAAAGCTAAAAAAAATTATATATAGTAGTGGCCTCTTATTTGTCTGTTCGCTTATTGGTTTCATCCAGGGCTTATCAGTCAGCCAATAGTGTTTTTCTCTCACAACAAACCAACACCAGCCGAACTTATCAGCCCAGAAACCAACCAACAAACATGCCGTATATAAGAAAAAATTGCTACTTTAACCAATGTTTCACATTATCTTTCGTAATCCTTCTCACATTTCACATTCTCTTATAACATATCTCTCTCCTGTACGAAGACATTCGCCTAAACCTAACAAACAGCCAGGCATTGATGACAGCAACCAGAGATGCTCCTCTAATTACAAGACGCCTAACTGCCGGATCCATACCGCTAAACAAGACATTTGGGGGGGGACAAATTAGTATGCTATCTGCTGCATAAGTAAGAATGAACCCTAATCTAGAAAAAAAAACTACATAGATCAACTGCGACATACAGGATGCGCCACCCTGATCCAAGAACGTCATCGGACCATTCCCAATAACTCAGCAAAAATGGAAGTACAAGCAGAGTAAAAGAACAAGCCACCAGTACTATTCAAGGAAACAATGAATACTTAACAGATCCAACTGTAATAAGGACTACAAAGGATACAAAGCATGTGGATCTGAACAAAACAAAACCGGATCTAGTCGTAAACATATCTAGGAGGACAAGATAGAGAGGGATCGAGGAGGCGTACTCTGGTAGGAACCGAAGCGTCTCACCTACGATCACCTGGAGACGGCCGACAACCTTCACCTGCGATCAACAGTTATATCTTCATGCAAATTTCTTAAAAAATATGTTCCATAATTAATATAATAATTCAGTTTTTTATATTAGCAAATATATCAGCTTATTACATGGTTACATGAATGACTTGTGGCCTGAAGACTTTTTTAGTGATTATGTCATGGGTTCAATTCGTATAGAATTCAAACTCCGTTCTATGCCTAGACACGTGTTGCTGTAATTCCTGTAGGTACAAGAAATTTAAAGTCTCACCAATGATCATGTCATGCATTTCAATTTGTTTCGGGATCGACTCTGCAATATGCATAAACACTTAACTTGAATGAGTATGGGAGACTGGGAGAGAGCGACAAGCTATATATGCAAACACTTAGTTTTCCAAGAGCCTGTTTAAATCACCTAGAACTAAAGTTTAGGTAGATTAAAGTTTAGGTGGCTAAAATTTAGCTCAGTGCTATTTGATACATGCACCGAAAGTAAATAACTTTCATGAACAAATGCTCATGCGCACCTTTTATCCATATTAGTTCATGTTCGTCAACTGTGAACTGGTTGCTAGTCCGGTTGAAAACTAAAACTTAGTTCACTAGGAGTTCGTCGGGGAGTGACGTCAACCGTAGGTTCCAAACATCGACAGCCACCGGGGGGTGGAGTAGGGCAGTGCCGCCGGTGAGATAAAGCTCTATGCGAAGGAGAAAACGAGCAACGACGCTCGCCGGCCGTGAGGAGGAAGAGGCGCTCGCGAACGGTGCCCAACGCCGTCAACGGGGACGTCCCCGTCCCTTCGATTCAGAGGTATCAGTCTGCCTTGGATCATCCCAATCCTAATGTCTCTCAACCAAACGCTTCTAAAAATAGGGCTGCCCCATCCCATCCCTTAGTCCACACTAAGGGCTCCTTTGGATTACAGGATTTTGAAGGAATACCGTTGACAAAGGAAAGTTTTCTATCCTATGGTTTGGCTGGCAAGAAGCACCACTACTATTCCATATGATTTCATTGATTCCATAGGATTTGTAACATCCACCTAGAGCTCTTGGAAATTTCCTACGCACAAAGTACGAGAAGTTAAATGCTGATGCTAGCAACTAATGATCTATTATGGCTTGTTGTACCCAATCAAAGAGAGGAAACACATGCAAAGCATGTACTTGGTGTTATTTTTTATCCAACCTTGACATTCCTGCAAAACGAATCCTTTGGTTCTCCTGTAGTGCTAGCAAAGAGCTTCTCATCTATTTTCGTATGCTTTTGAATTCTACTATAGCATTAGAGCAACATAACATATCAATCCCTATATTTTTCTATTCCTATACATTTTTCCTATCCTTTGTTCCAAAGGGGCCTAAGCCAGACACAGGCCCAGCCCCACTCCTGGGCTCCTGGCCCGACCTCGCATCTTCGCCGTGGCCCAACTAGTTGGCACACACACCGCGCCTCCGCCGTCCCCGTCCCCATCCCCGTCTTCCTCCCTCCCCTTCCCCCATCTCTCATCGCCACCACCCCCGGTCCTGTTCCTCTTCTTCTGACCTCGGCAGCTCCCATGAAATCTTAATCCCCCAAAACCCTCACTCAAACCAACACTGCACCGCCGGCATGTCGCCCCCTCCGCAGGCGCCCGACTACAAGCACATCTCGGAGGAGTGCCTTCGCGAATGGAAGGGCCAGTCCGCCAGCGCCTTCCGCCTTCCTGATCCGGTCCCCATGGCGCGTGTAGAATGGAATTGTACAACTGGATGCATCGTATTGATCATAGGTGGTGTACATATATAGGAATACAGAGTGGCCTTTGGCCATGGCTATACATGCGCGAGCGGCTATGCGTGCAAAGCGGGAGCGTGGGCGCCGTGGAGACCGGGCGCGCATGCTCTGCGGTTGAGGACGTTGGCGAGTGCGCGGCCATGGCGCACGAGTCCGTTGGAGACTTGGCGTCGCTGAAGACTCGGGCGGAGCTCTAGCCGTTAGAGGTGCTCCGCTGACACCCCCCGCAGTGTCGACGTCGGCAGTCGTGACGGAGAGGCTGTCCCTGAAGTCGAAGAAGAGCGCCGAAGGGAGACCTTTGGTGAACACATCGGCTAGCTGTCGCGCACTGGGTACATGCGTGACGCGGAGCTCGCCAATGGCTACCTTTTCCCGGACGAAGTGTATATCAAGTTCGATGTGCTTGGTGCGTCGGTGATGGACGGGGTTCCTGGACATGTACACCGAGGAGATGTTGTCGCAGAACGCCACCGTTGCCGTGGGCACCTTGTATAGAAGTTCGCCGATGAGTTGGCGTAGCCATGAGCACTCGGACACAGCATTGGCTATGGCACGATACTCAGCCTCGGCACTCGACCTCGATACCATGGTTTGTCGTTTAGACGACCACAAGATGAGGGATGAGCCAAGGAAGACGCAGAAGCCCGATGTAGATTGCCTCGTATCCGGGCATCCAGCCCAGTCCGCATCCGAGTAGTCAGTGATCGTCGGCGAGGAAATGGCGTGCAGTTGAATGCCGAGATGAGCGGTGCCCTTGACGTACCGAAGGATACGCTTGAGCATGGTGAGATGCACATCCCGCGGCGCATGCATGTGAAGGCAAACTTGTTGCACATCATATGCGATGTCGGGGCGGGTGATCGTCAAGTATTGTAGGGCACCGGCGAGGCTCCGATAGGAGGTGGCATCGTCGATGAGGGTGCCGTTTGTTGCCGAAGCCTTGCCCTTCGTGTCTGCCGGAGTAGCGACAGATTTGCAGTTCGCCATACCTGCGCTCTCCAGCGGGTCTTCGGTGTACTGCGTCTGGGAGAGGAAGAAGCCGTTGCCTGTGCGTCGAACACCAATGCCGAGGAAGTGGTGGACGGGCCCCATGTCCTTCACTTTGAAGGCGTTTTGCAGCCGCTTGACGATGTGCTGAAGAAGTCCAGTCGATGATGCGGAGAGGATCATGTCGTCGACGTACAGCTGGAGATACGCCTGGGCACCGTTGCGGTTGTACACGAAGAGAGACGTATCCGCTCTCGACTGTACAAAGCCGAGCGAGGTCACGTGCCCGACGAAACGGTCGAACCACGCACGGGGAGCTTGCCGGAGGCCGTAGAGGGAGCGTGACAGGAGGCAGACGTGATCTGGCCGTGCAGGATCGGCGAAGCCCGTGGGCTGCTGACAGTAGACTTGTTCCTGCAGGTTGCCGTGCAAGAAGGCATTGGAGACGTCGAGTTGATGAGCCGGCCACTTGCGGGACGCCACGAGCGTGAGGACGGTGCGTATAGTCGCCGGCTTGATCACCGGTGAGAACGTTTCGCCGAAGTCGATGGTGGGTCGTTGAGTGAACCCACGGAGGATCCATCGAGCTTTGTAACGCTCAAGGGTGCCGTCGGGTTTCATCTTATGCTTGAACACCCACTTCCCCGTGATGATACGAGCGCCGGGTGGCCTGGGAACGAGGGTCCAGGTCTGGTTGGCCTGCAGTGCGTCGTACTCGGCTTTCATGGCCGTGTACCAGTTGTCGTCTTTGAGAGCCGAGTGGACGCTGCGAGGCACCGGCGAAAGCGTTCCTGTGGCCGCCAAGGCGTACTTGGGGTTCGGCTTGTGGATCCCATCACGCGCTCGAGTGACCATCGGGTGACATGTGGTCATTGGTGGGCGCGATGGTGCGATCGGGGACGAGGTCGTGGGCGACGTCGTGGGCGACACTGTGGGCGACGTCGCGGGCGATGTCGTAGTCTATGCCGCGGGAGCCGGAGCAGGTATAGGTTGTGCCGTAGTCGATGTCGCGGTGGCCGCGGACTGTTCGGGGGCGCCTCCCGAACGCACAGTCCGTGCCCGCGTCGGATGGTGCGGCAGCTCGGTGACAAGACGCTGCGGCGCGTCGTCCTCAGGCAGAGTTGGTGGAGAGGATGAACTTGACGCAGGCTCGCGGAGGTCGAGGTCGCGGAAGGGGAAGACGTCCTCGTCGAAGACGACATGCCGGGACGTGATGACGCAGCCGGTGGTGATGTTGTAGCATCTGTAGCTGCGGTGATCAGCCGGGTACCCGATGAAGACGAACGTAGTTGAGCGCGCTGCGAGCTTGTGCGCGGACGTGGAGATCATGTTGGGGTAGCAGCGACACCCGAACACC